GACTTAGAAAATCCACAACTTTCAATAAAAGTAAATTAAAATTTTAAATAATTTCAACGTTTTATACATTTGTCTCATCGATCTACGGACAGAAATCGTTAATCAATGCTAACTTTATTTAAAAAAAAAAACGAAATAAAAAAAATCTAATTAAAGCGAAACCCACTTAGAAGTCCCACAACTCGCTAATCCAAATCACATATTCACGCTGCGATGCGAAAGAGTACAGCTAATTTGTTATTTCCTATTAAATATTCCAGTTCATCTGCTTATTCTTCTCAAATATTTCTTTTTTTTTATAATTTTGTTGTTGTTAACTTTTTTTATGGCTTTGCTTTTCAGTACAAGCAGGTATTGTCGGTGTGGGTCCAAGCCAAACGGTAGCCAAATACATTTTGAAGGTAGTCATAAATTTTCTTTGAAATGAGCCGCAAAATCATTTGAAAAACAAAAAAACATTAAATACCAACAGTAGCAACAACAAGCATTTCAAGAAGAAAAAAAATCAGTAACAACCATTAATGGATGGGGTAACAACGGCTACCAACTAACAAACATTATTTCGAGCATAGGTGAATACGTTAACTTAATTAAGCCGGTTCCTGCATTTAGCCAAGTTGATGAGGAGTTTGTGATGCTACTCTGAAGCATTTGTTTGTACTCATATACATACATATGTATGTAGGTGCATATGTACCTGTAGGTGTACCTACTTAAATGCGAGTGTACGTATTGTGGGAGCAAGTTTATGGTTTAGCGCTAGAGGTAAATACTTTTATATATACATATATACATACAATAAGTATTAATAAACCAGTAACGACTATAAATAAATAATTGAAAAGATCTTGACCACAGATTAATTTTTTCTGAGTAATTAGCAATTTGGAGTAGCTGGGAAAAGTAATTTGAAAATGTGACTTTGTTCTACATATTAGAGTTGATTTGAAACACTATTTGGTTTAACAGTCAAATTTAATCACCTAAAACGAACGATGTATCAAAACAAATTTAAAAATAGTGATTTAAACTTTCAGCTAACAAAGAAGCTACTTCTACACATGTTCATTAGGGTGCCCAGGGAAGGGATGTGCTCTTTTAACACTCCATACGAATTACTCGTAGCGCTTTTAACAGGAGCGACATTTTCATATGAAACAAAATGGTTTCGAAAGCTAATGTAATTGCCTTTCACGGAAAAATATTTCCCTTGAGCCACAATTACTTTTCCTTGACTTAAAAAAAAAGGCCCAAAATAGTGTTCTTCGAAAAAAAATGCAAAATCCACCGGATTTATTCCAAAAAAAAATTATTTTTTATTACACTAATATTATAGAGTTTAAGACGAGCAACACGATTCCACTGTTGTCCCACGTAGATCCGTCCCTGAGGTTGCCTCATCAAAATAAGACGAGGTTTTTCCACCGAAATCTTAACTTTATTATAGTTTAAAACTTTCGCCAAAATATTTTGCATAAATAATAAATAAATATAAATCTTGAGCTTGATTAATCCTTTTTTAAAAACTTTACAGCATAAAAACAAACACAAGTCGGTTTAATAGTTTTCCAAATATCTCGAGAACGGGCCGAGGAAAAAATTAAAAAAAATCACACATACACACATTAAAATTCTCTATGAAAAGAAATATTTTTAAAATTTATTTCTTGAAAAATTTTTCACATACAAATTTTTTTTATAAAAAAAATGAGTTTTTGAAATGATGCCATCTTAAAAAATATTAAAAAAAATCACAATGGTAGCTCTGAGTATTGCGCAATATTTAAGTGTAGTATTATAGGGTGCACTCAACCATAATCTGAGTTATGCATTTTTTTTTACACCGAAGTTGAGTAAACTGAATACATACATAACAAATTTGCAAATTAAAAAATTTTTTTTTTTAATTTTTTTGAGTATACAGTATACAGTAGCCCATTCAATTTTAGTACAATAAAGTGCTACTGCAAAATTGCGTTGATTTTTAATATTTTTTATGCTGGCGGCTTCTTGCACTTTTTTCTTATGGAAGAAAATGCGCTAAACCATTTTCAAAGAAAATTAAAAAAAAATAACGCCCGTGCGTTTTGGTATGGAACGCCCCATATACATACTTCCATACAGAGTTCAAACTGTGTGAGCTGGAGCACGCTTTACAAATAGGAGAAATAAAGCTGTGCAGCTTTCGATTCCAGCAGCAAATACATTAACCTCTTTGTGGTTGGAGCGCTAATGAAATGTCAAAATACCACTTTGTCAAATATTTACAGTTTGAATATTTTTCTCGGCACTCACCGCGTTCGTTCATTAATCAAAGCGAATTTTAAGCTTCTTTGGTTGCTTTCGGCACTTAGAGGAAATAGTAAAATGGGAAAGCATGCAATTATAATTAGGGCGTGCATATGTATACACATCCAAACGTAATCTAAATCTAGATATCTATAATAATTTAAAGGCAACTTTTTGTGTTTGAAAAACTCGCGAAACACTGAGCCGATTTCCATGATTTTGATTTTAAAAGAACTTGACTGGACTACGGAGTAATATAGGCATAATTTCCCTATAAAACTTTTACAGTTAGCAAGTAGTTAAAGGGCATAAACATTGCGTTTTAAAAATAAATGCAACAAAGGCTTAGTTTTATCAAAACTTTTCTTGAGATCTAAGGATTGTTAATGTTGAGCTAAATTTTTAATATTTGTAGTTATTATTAATCAGATTTGCAGTCAATTTTTGTCAACGAACCATTTTAGAGCCACTTTTCTCGGAAATACGGAATTTTGTGGTACTTACCCGTCGTCTGTCTGATTTCGTGTAGGGAAGGGATTGAAATGGCTCAATCGCAAGAATATATATGCATCATCCTACATTTATAATAAAAAAACATTTCTGCAAACGAGCAAATCGAGATTGAACTGCCATTAGCCCATTCAATTTTAGTATAATAAACTGCAAGTATGAGGAAGCTAGGACTTACCATTGATTTTTGGGATTTTTTTTTTTTTGTTGAAGGTGTCGCGCATTTTTCCATATAAAAAAATTATCAAACGCTTTGAACATTGGAACATTGATTTTTGGGGTTTTTGTTATAGTATTAACTATAGCTCTAGATACCCGGGTATCGAGCAATGCGAGTAGCTCGCTCGAAAATTTGTAAATTGTATTTGTCAGCAGCTGCTTTCTAATTCATGTTAAATGAATTATATTATTAAATACCAATGTAACAATCTTTGCATTATACATATATCAATAATTTGAAAAATTTAAAATGTTGCTACCAAAAATGTCAATATAATAAAAAAAAGCATTGCTCAAATTACCCGAAAAAACTCGAATTGCTCGAGCTCATGCTCGAAAATTTTCGAGTAATGAGCATTGAACAACTGTGCGAGTACTCGCTGCTCATATACCCGGGCTGTTTGAAAATGTGCGAACAAAACCGAGAGCTCTAGTTTCTATAAAAATATTTGGGAAAAATAAAATATATAAAAAATAGTTGCCCGTATTGTAAAAAAATCGCTGTACCTAAACTTTATTGACTGACTGTCTGTCGCAGCTATTTTGTAATTTTTGAAATTTTACGATTTTTTTTTTAATTTTAATAATTTTAGATACTTCAAATTGTCAAAATTAAACACGCGAAAATGTTCCTCTTGCCAAAACGAAATAATCTAGCGTAATAAAACTAGTGTGTCACCAAAAGAAAAAAATTCATTGAGTAAAGGTGACTATGATTCGAGAAATTAAAATTTCTTTTTAAAAATTTTTATTAGCAGACTCGAAGTTCATTCTAAAATTGTTATATATGTACACGAAGAAAGTAATATATTTAAGTATATATGTGGATAAGGAATACTATGTAAAAATCTCCCACGTCAATATTTAATTGCTTTTAAATAATAATGAATAATAATAATGAAAGTAAAGGCGTGCGAGTGCGAGTAAGCGTGTTAGTTGACTGCGTATGGTGGGCGTATACGTTACATACGCAACTACTGGTATATGAGCATGATACGTAGTTTTTACTTTTTTAGAATATGCATATATATTTTTTAAGTTTTCGTTTACACACATTTACGGAATGGAATCTTGTTCTTTATACAAAACTGGAGATAATACACTTTCTAAGATAGGCGCAACACCATTTTCGACCAAAAACAGATTTTTTCATATATCTGTTGAAAACATGGTTGCTTTGTGCCCTTTGTTCACAAAAAAACGCTCGAATACCCAAAGCATCTAGATGTATTTCTGCATCGAAAAGAAAATTAAGAAAAAATTCCGCTTTTCAAGTTTCTTTTAAAATTGATCTCCCTTTAAACCCATTTTTTTACAGGCAGATGAATTTTATAAGCCACTTGGAAAAAAAAACTGCGCTTAAAGTTTTTACGCTAGAAATTCAAAACATCACAGACTTATCAAAGCGCCCTCGTTTGCACTACTGTACAACCATTTTAGATTTACATACGAAGCAAAGTAATTAAAAGAGATTTGACCAGCAATGCTCCATAGATCTCCATATCTCATTAATGCTCACTTATCCACACATACATATGTATGTACATATGCACATATACGTATAATTATGCAAGCATATAAGTGGATTTTATTTATAACAAACAAGCATTGAACGCTTGAAAACTGCAATTTACTGCTCAACAGCTCAAATTGATAAATTGGTATTTAGATATTGCGACACGTCAATTGCATACTAATTGAATTATGCAAAATGAAGGAGCTTAAAGCGCAAAATTTCAATTAATTTAAAGTGTACAAGCATATACCCAAGACTGCGAGCGAACACTGAACAAGTAGCGATTAGTGTTTTTCAATTAGCCAGCTGCTATGTAACGATCGGATATTGCTTGTTCACACGTTGCACCTATACTATTTATTAGATTAGCAAATAGAAACACACACACACCTGCAATTAAAAGCAGTTAATACAACAATGTTGCAAAAAAAATATTTAATAACTAATATTATTTTTCACTTTGCAGATAAATCACATTTGGATATATTTTCGAATCGCCCCCAACCGAAAAAGAAACGCAAATCTCGCACAGCTTTCACCAATCATCAGATATTCGAATTGGAAAAACGTTTTCTCTATCAAAAGTACCTGTCACCGGCCGATCGTGATGAGATTGCCGCTGCGCTGGGCCTATCCAATGCACAGGTGATCACTTGGTTTCAAAATCGGCGAGCAAAGCAAAAACGTGATATTGAAGAGTTGAAGAAGGACTTCGACAGCGTGAAGGTATTCTCTGCGCATAAATCCTTTTTGGAGAATGTGAACGATCTCAGCATATTGAAGAAGAAGCCCATGCATGAGGCGGACGCAATGGCCGGCCTCGCTGCGGCCGCGGCAGCCGGTATGGTGCCGGTTTCGTCAGCCGCCGCTGCAGCCGTTGCCGCACAGGCTGCATTAAATACACAAAAATGAATTAGTGGGCGCACATAGCGCTATAAACACACATTTTCACACAAACAACTGCGTGAGAGGAAGAGAACAGCAAATGGAGTAT